TTTCATCTCTGTATAATATCAAGCACCCTAAAACAAAATTTTTATTCTGAATTTCAACCCAGCTCTGGTGATCATGGAGACATCTATGATTAAAAGAAAGAAAAATCATCTAATATTTATGGGAATTTAAATAGACTCGTCTATAAATGGGTAGAAATTTATCCTTCCTGCAGTATACGAAATATTTGAAGCAAGGTGAAAATTGCATCTTATCAGTATAACGGGTGGGTGCCCTAATCAGCCTTTTATATGACTACCTGTCTTCTTTATAATAATATACCTGGGTCAAAGAAAAAGAAAGAAAGGGAAAAAGATTTAGGGAAAATATAAGCGTAAGTCTGTCATGGACAAAACTTCTATCAATCTGTCTATCAGACAAGAACTATTGTTAGGCTCCTTGAGAAAAAGCCATTTTTTTAAATCTATAATGCACTACCCCAGGCTCATTTGTGTGGACAAATGAGTTCTCAGATAATTCATATAAGCATGCCAGTTCTGTCATTATGCTATAAATGAAACGTGACTGCATGTAAGAGACCAATACCAGGACTATAAGTAACACTATGTATTTTTCTTAATACTGATTAAAGCTATTGATACCATTTTTAATTTTTCTTACATGTTTCTTACAAAAGAGTGAGAAGATTATTTAAAGAGAATCACCATAATTTTTTTCTGTTAAAAAGAGCTGCAAAAACATGAATTCTAGTCATTGATATTAGTTCTTAATTTGTCATGAAAGAACAATAAGTTTTAAATTTAGTAGTGTAATAGGTGACAATCTGCTTCATATGTATTTATTTTATATTTCTGTGTTTCTCTCCAATGATATATATATATATATATATATATATATATGTCAAACAATGCAGGACAAAATGTGTTTAATTTATATAGCAATAATAAAAAGCATAGAATAACTAGAAAATAATTATATAATTTTATTCATGGCCAATAAAGATCTACTATGAGGTATATGAGTGATTGTGAGTTTTTAATGAAAATTACAGGTCCAGTCATATTCTTGGATTCAGCATCTAATGTAATTCTTATTAGAATATAGGTACTTAACAAATATTTATTTACTAAATTTATGAATAAGTGAGAGTCAAATTTTGAATGTTTTGCAGGTATTCCAAAATTAGTGCTTCCTAGAGACATAATGCATATTTGAGTGAATAAATGATGGAATAATTAAAGTGAAACCTGAAAATGTTCTGAAGTTGGAGCTTAGTAGCTAGAAAGATAGAGATTAACTATGACAAGAACAGTACCAGCTAATATTCAAAATTAAAACTAACAGCAATTAAGAATTTCAGCTACTTTTAAATCATTTGTTATATTTCCCTTTGCAAGTGTTTTCTTTTCTTAATCTTTTTATTTATTTGTTTATGTACTTATTTGGTATGGGGTCTCACTACACAGCTCGAGTCATAATGATCCTTCTGTCTCAGTCTCCCCAGCACTGGGATTAGAGGCGTGTGCCACTACTCCTGATTTCAGTGGTCAGCTCAGTGTGACGGGGTTCTGTGCTGGCACAGCATGTGGTACCGAACCCGGGTCCTTGCCTTGCCAGGCAGGTGCTGAGACCACCAACCTATCTCCTCAACTCCAATAAATCATTTTCATTCCTAAAAAGTTATTACAAAATTGTCTAAAATTCAATGTTACATAATGCATTAATTTATAAAACGAATTTTGTCATTGGGGTTGTAGTCATTTTAGATCTTTTGTTCTATGTTTATTAAAGGAGAAGGAAGAAAGAATAAAGAAAGAAATATGTGTATACACAAGATAAGATAATTACACAGTTAATTTCTCTTAGTGCACTGAAATGAAAGGTTTGTACTAATATTGTTTTGACAAGGGTTCATGCCTATATCTTGTAGTATGAATAACTACGATGAAGATAACAATATGCAATGCAGTTTTCACTGTTACTCTCCTTTTTGCCTGTTCTGAAACTGCTCTATTGTTATTTTATCTCTTTACAATAAAAAATAAATTAAATTTTAATAAAAAGAAAAACAGATAAAAGTTGTATATATAGGAATATTTTTAAAAAGTAAAAGGAGACACAGAGTTAAACATTTTTTATCTTTCTTTGGCATCGTCATAGAGATAAAGAATAGCTGAATATATTTGCTCACGCCTATAATCCTAGCACTCAAACTGAGGCACGGGGACCACCAGGAGTTTGAGCCTAGCCTGGGGTACATGGTGAGTTCAAGGCCAGCCTGAACTACATTGTGAGTTCAAAGCCAGGCTGCACTACATAGTGAGACTAAGTCTCAAACAACAAAACACAGCAAAATAAAACAATTCCCCTGTCATAAAACAAGCAGTGGTGTCAGTGATTTTGTTGTAAAACTTTATATGACACAAAACATGACTTTTATAAAAACGTAAAACTAAACTTCTACATTTACTTTAAGTTCTAAGAAATATGATGATTCCATTTTCAAGGCAATTATTTTCTGCAATCGACACTTGAACATTTTATGTACATTTGCATCTTATTAATTTCTTTCATAATTAATACCATGTCAGAATGGGCTTTAGCTACACATATTCATTTAAGTTTGGAGGTTTAGGTTAGGATTTAATTTCAGTATACTGAAAGCCCTTTCCTCTACTATAAATTTTTAATTTTGAAATTTTTAATCTTATTTTAATATAAATAACTGGACAAAATATTCTGATAGAATATGGAGAGTTGTAATACATTCATTCCTATAGCTATGTATTACTTTAACAAGAATATAATGTTTAATCTAGTATATGTTTTAGAAATTATTACATAATAGGGTATTTGGTACTATGACAATAAATAAGGGTTTTACATTTTTCAAATCATTGTGTGTGCTTGTTGTATTTTACTTGGTACAGGAATCAAACGCAGGACTTTCTCTTTGCTGACAGGCACTGTGATACTGGGCTATCTCCCCAGCCCAAGAGAGCTCATTTTTACATTGTTAAATAAGAAACTACAATAAGATCTTTACAAGTCCATTCATTTAATAACTAATGTCAAATTATAACAGAAGCATTCTAAGATTTAAATAATATGCCAGTGAATTTATGTTTTCAATTTGAATGCAGGGAGTTAACTCAGAAATCTCTTAGGACCTTCTTTTCTAGGATATAGAAATAGGTATCAGTGAAGATATGCTACCTGGGAATTTTAGTGAATTTAACTAAGAAGAATATGTACACATGCAGACATCAGGAACAGTTTCTTCTATAATGTGGAGATTTAATTTTTATGTGTAGTCCATGCACCAGCTGAACAGTTCTAAGACCCATCGCAGTGCTTAAGCTGAGCTCCTGAACTCATTTTGTTGAACACATATAAAATAGGTGGCTTGTGTTCTTCACTATAAAAAGATGAAATTGGCCCAGAGATATTTAAAAAAATGTGGACCCTGTTTATTTTAAAGATAAGAAAAAGTTGAGCTAAAAATTATGAACTTCACACTTTAAATTCTCATTTTTAGAAGAAGAACTCAAAATTTTAAGGAAAACTTTATCAGGCACTATCATGGAGTTTTAAAATGCTATATAACTACACGGTTTCAATATATATTTTCAGATGAATATAAATGCTATTATCTGAGCTACTTGAAACAAAATCTGAACCTACTAGATAAAAAATGATAAATTTATGTAATACCTGTATATAAATACATCAAAATATTAAAATTTTTAAAATATGTTAATAGATTTACAATACGCTAAATGTAAAAATATATATAACTGATTTCATTTCCTTTTATAGTGAATGAAATATAATTACTTTTCATGAGTAGAAAATATATACATATATATTGAGACAGATTGTTGCTGTGTAGTTCAGGCTGGCCTTAAACTCATTATGGAGCCTAGTCTGTCCCAAATTTGTGATGATCCTCTCCTCAGCTTCCTGAGTACTAGGATTACAGGCATGTGTGTCATGCCTGGTTTATGATAAGGAAAAATATTTAACTTTATTATAAAGAGAATAAATTCAAGGACAGATAAATATCCTCACTGATTAATTTATCAAAAGAACTCTGTATGTCATTAAACATTGTTTATTTGATTTTTATTATAAAATGGCAAAACTTGGAGGTGTACATTGTAAGAATTTTTATGAACATGAAAAAATTATACGTAGGTAAAAATTTATATTTGGCTCATCTATGCATCTGATATTTAATAGAATACAAAAGTGCAGTGAACACAGTGAGCTTGGAGCCTTCAATCTCCTCAGATCTACAATAGAGATACGAGGCCTGAGGGCTGATGCTTATCTTAGGGCCATATTGAAAGGATCTAGGAAATGAAAGTTTGATAGTGAGGTAAAATAAGTGAAAATGTTTATAAATTTCCACCTCCAAAAGCAATAAAGAAGAAAAAGTCAGCATACACTGAGATATATCATAGATCATAGAGGCCATTATAAAGGTATAAAATTGTATTTTTCAAGTAGACATTGGTTTTCTGATGTTATGACTGGAAAAGTATAGCTGCCAATGATAATAAGTAATATTTGTATTGATATGCTTATTTTGTGAAGAGTGAGAAATTTTATTTATATTTTAATATTAGAGTCCTTATGTTAAATTAGACAGTTCCTTTAGAAAGGACTCCTTTTATATATTGCTATTTGTTTTTGTCTTATTAATTAATCAAAACATGCTTGTGTGGTTCTGAAGACCCCCTCGAAGTGAAGAAGTTACTCTTTACCATAGTAACTGGTGCTGCCTTGAGATGCTAATTAATAGTACACTTTAGCATATTTATAGCTTATTGACAAAACCAGCATGCTTTCTGCCCCGAAGAGGCAACAGATTTCATTTGTAAGTGGATGTACGGATAACCTTCTTAAAAGCTTCTGATTCTCCAGCACCCGATGGGAAATAAAGAACGAAAGTAAAATTGATTGTGACTTTTGACAATTATTAGTTAGAAAAAGGAGGTAACAATTGCCAAAACAATCACAAAAGTGAGCATGTTACCTGGCTATGACAAAGAGCACACAACTGACACCCAAGTAAGCCAGCAGAATATACATCCAGATATCAGGGGAGAGAGGATTCAGGAAGGAGAAGACGCCTGGGTTTGTACCATTGGGCTTGCGGTACAAAATACTTATTCCAAGGGTCATAAAGGGCTTGGAGAAGTCGATGACCTTCTCTCGAACATAGGTAATAGCCAGTGGAGCAACGGCAAGGTCAGCTTTCTGTAGAGAGACACAAAAGAAAAATTGCTGCTAAGTGAAAGTGAAAAGGAAGTAAATAAATCAAGCGTTTATAACAGAGAATTATTTCAAAATTTAAAGTACTCTTCCACTCTGAAGAGCAGCATCTGATTTACTCTGCTACTTCTTTCTGTTTGCTTCAGTGCTGACATATCAGCATTTATGGTAACTACATAGCAGAAGAAAATTAAAAAAAAAAACTGAAAAACTTTATGCTTAATACATAAATTATTATGTAACTGAGCCTTTCATAGTTACTTTTAAGCTTGAAACATTCACTTAATATCAACTAAAATTTTACTACATATATTGGTCAAATTCTACTTGCAGAAATAACTACATCAGATGATCAGGGAAAACAAGAAACATTTTTATAGGGCCAGGTGCCTGCTTAGGCAGGCACAGAGACTGGGGTTTGGTTCCTGGCCTGCCAAGCCAGCCCCACTCCTGGGGCACACTGAGAGGGCAACTGAGGCTGGGCGTGGTAGCAAGCACCTCTACTCCCAGACCTTGGGAGGCTGAAAACAGGAGGATCACTACGAGTCGGAGCTGTGTAGTAAGACCCTGTAGACCCTGTACTAAATACATTTTAAAAAAAGAAAAAAAGAAACATTTTTGTGATTTTGAAAGCCTCAAAACCTGGAATTAAAAAGTTGTAGACTTTAAATAGTTAAAAACATCTTTAAAATCACTTTAATGTGATTGTTTACTGAGCTTTGTTCCTATCCCTCTAATTTGTTTTTTATTATTTAATGAAAATCCTTGCAGCTTTGCCTAAATCACATTAGGAAATGAGTTTTTCAATTTTCACAAACTTGCTAATTTTTCACGGTAGCTTAAATATGTTAAATTAGTAATGCTTTTTAGTTACTACGTTATAACCATCTGTCATAGATGAATTTATGCTCTAATATATTACGAGAAGTAATTATATTTTAGAGTAACAAAAGCATCTATGGTGAGAGACTACATTGCTACAGTCCCTTTATTTTGGATAAACAAAAGGTTTCAGAATGAATTCCAATTTTAAAAAGCAACAAAAGAATAAAAGTATAAAATGAACCACCTTATCTTTCCTTTTGTCTTAAGCATTGTTGAAGGACTTACGAAAGAAACATTTTTAAGATGATACATTTGTTGGCAAGTAATACCCTATATTTATGTGTCTTTGCGTGTCGGTGGTTTGTGGGAAGGCACTCAGGTGTGTGGAGAGACTATCTTTGGGAATTGTAATAGATAAAACCATATTTCTGAAAACTAAAAAAAATGTTTTCAAGGTCCTGAGAAATAGGACATTATATTTCGTAGTCATAAGTCAGGGAAAATATCAAGAATAATGCTTGCTAAAATTTCTTCATGAACTTGCTCTGCAGGTACTATATTGGGAATGTCACATAGGCTGTCATATTTAATCTTCACACACAGTCTTAGTGCTATTTCCTTTTTCAGAAAAAGAAGCTGAAAGAGGGCTGAGGAGATAGCTCAGTGGAATAAGTGCTTGCCTGGCAAGCACAGGGTCCTGAGTTCAATCTCTGGGTACTGCAGAAAAATAAAAAGTAAAAAAAGAAAGAAAGAAACTGAAATCTTCAGAAGTTAGAAAATGTGTTTACTGTAATAAAGCTAATGACAGAAAATGTCAGAGTTTCTGACTTAGAATTTAAACATGCCACGAGTTATAGAAACCAGTGAAGGAATTGTGCAAAAGGTGCTCATCCACTCATTCATGCATGCATGCACTCATTCCTGCACTCGTGAAAGAGATTTATAGGGCAAAGGAAAATATTCAGAAGCAAGGCTGATAAGCGATAGAAATTTAGGAGGTCAATACAAAGATCAGGCAGGCCAGTGTTTTTCCATAGAAAGGAGGAAGGCAGAAAGAAGTAGAACAGCTTGAAAGAGGAGGTAATTGTGTTAGAAAAAGAAAGTAGTAATTTAAGAATACAAATCCCAGGTAAGAATATACACAATAAGATACAGTGACTTGGTCCAGTTTTGAAGGTTGGAGATACAGTGCTGTTCAACTATGCGCCACTTCACTCTGGCCCTTATCTCTTCTTGAGAACAAAGAAGGAAAATGTCATCACAAATAAGCATAGAAATTAAGGTGCTTTAAATTAGTAAGCTTTTTTAATTGACAAAAGTATATATGTTTTTGTGTATAACATCATCATGTACATATATTCATATGTATGCATATACACACGTATGTCAAATACTTATATTATTTGACATATGCATATATTTGCTATGGAGCAATTAAATCTATCTAGTTAACTTATGTATTATCTCACACACATAGTGGTAATTTTTATGGTGAGAATGTTTAAGTTTTTATTAATTCATCCTCTTTGTATATGTGGGATCTATAAAGTTGGTATCCCTGAGGCAGAGATCAGAATGGTGGTTACCAGGAGCTGTTGGTGGTATGGGAGGTGAGGGTGCCACAGAGGGGTGCGAAGATGCACATCAAAGGATAGACACTTTTGGTTAAGAAGAAGAATAAGTTCAGGAAATATAGTATCCAATGGTGACATTGGTTAATCACACTATTTAAATGATAACATTTTAAATTGTCATATTTATCCACAAATGTATAAAACAATTCAAATAATAATGAAGCAACCCAATACATTATTCCAAAAAGTTGTTCTCTTTGGGTACATTATATCAGAATTGACTGCACTACATGTATAAGACTTCAAGGTTACTTAATTTTGCCTCCCCAAAAAAGGTTTATCACAAACATGAAATGAAAAAGACAAAAATTAATAGTAAAATATCATCATGCATAAGTCATTAATAACAAAATATTCAAGTAGATCACTTGATATATTAAACACATAAATAAACTGATAATTTAGTCATATCATCAAGTATCATTCAATTGTAAAAAAGAAATGAGCTAGCAAGCCATAAAAAGAAACTTAAATGCATATCATTGTTCATTGAACGGCATCAGTCTGAAAGGCCTACACAGCCTAAACCTAACTCTATGACATTCTAGAAAAGCTAACATTAAAGAACAGGAAACATATCCAGTGGCAGCCTAGGAGAGGCAGAGAGAATGATGGACATGCAGGCTGCAGAACATGGTTAAGACACTGGACAAATTTTGCAGAATGTTGCAATCGAGGCAGTGAAGAGTCCTACATTGATGGACTTCAATGAAGGTTCCTAAAGGGTAACAGACACACTGACTTCATGCAAGATGGTAATAACAGGGAAGCTGCACAGCAAGTGGGAAGGAAGAAGCAATGTAAAACTACTTCCTATATAATTTTTCTATAAGCTTCAAATTTCCCTAGAAAATAGATGATGCTGATTTTTAAGTATAATTTTATGACAACTTTATTTAGTGTGTCTTAATGTATATTGATCAACTGGTTAAAGTTTAATTATGATTAATAGTTAAACATACAAAATTGACCAAGCACTATTAAAATATTAACCAACTATTAAAAATAGTTTTTAATTACGTAAGATGTATTTTTCAATCCATTTAAGAAACCAATCTCAGAAAACAAGGAGCAGTAACTGAGAACATTTATTTATACCAAGTAGCACCCTCTACCCATAAAATCCAGCTTCATTACATGTCTATTAATAAAATAATTGTGAAAGCTAATCAAAATATTGTTAGATTAAAGGTGTTCATAATGATAGCTGTGGTATTTTCCTATTAAGTGTTGTGTTATTATAGACAGCAGTTTGAGAAAAAAATCTAATGGTACAATTTAATAATCTACGAACATATTATCTCTGTAGATAAATGTTAATAACTTAATGAAAATAGGCTTAGCAGTTGATTTCTGATTTCAAAGACTATAGTCTTGCACAAGACAAAACCAGTGGACAAGAAGCCTTCACCAAACAAAAATACTGGAGTTTTCATATGAAACAAGGAGTCTGAGCTGGCCAAGCCCTGAACTGGAAGTGTTACAAGCAGAAAGAGAAAAGAGTATCACAGGAAAAGCGAGTGTTCGTTGCATCTTTTACGGAACAACGGTGTGCTGCATTCTTTGATCCTGTCACTCCCACAAACCCTCACCAGAGCTCTGCCATATTGGTCATGTGACTACTTCTGTACACATAAAAGACCCCAGAACAGTCAACATGAAACATGATTTTAAGAAAATACAGCCCCCAAATGACTGTTGCACCCGTTTCCTAGGATGTTTCTGCCTTATCATTAAATACATCTCTATATTGGCCTGTTATACTCATTCACTATTTCCTTGACCCAAATGATTATTCATTTCTTTCCCTTTTCAAATTCTATACATGTCTGTGGGGCTATATTCCCTCCACTGCAGCCACACCTTAATATTTTATCCAGTATTTGTCATTTTAGATAGATAGATAGATAGATAGATAGATAGATAGATAAAATTTATATTTATATATTTATATTCAGTCAGAACAAAACATGTAACAATGTCTTTTTTGTCATTTCTAATTATATCCTGTGTAAATCAGCTAAAAGGATATGAGCAATTTAAACGTCCATACGATTATACTTGTGTTTTCTCTGTTACTATGAGAATAGAAACACTTTGTAACCTGAATGTACTTCCTTCTATCAAAACACAGAACTCTGAACTGAATGAACAACAAAATTTCCCTTCCTAGAAAGCTAAGGAACAGGCAGCAGCAATTTCATTAAATTAATGACTATGGATTTAATACCCCAATCTTTGTGGTAAAGCCTGCCAAATTGTCTTGTTCATCTGTACGATCATAATGAACCTGATATCTCTAAGGCACCAGAAAAATCTGACAATGTGGCACCACCTAGGAAATGTTTACTCAATACACTTATGGAAATTTTCAATGAGAAATCTAAATTTCTCTTCTGATCCCATTCAATAAGATTTATTTCTGTAATAATATAAATGCAAGTTAACTAACACAAAGACAGAATAGAATAATTATTCTTAGAGTTATATACGTGAGAGCAATCCATTGATTACAGTCTCATGGAA